ATAAGAAGCAAATAGTAATCAATGTAACAGAAAAGAGTAAAAAAATCTCCTGAACTACTGTGAGCTTTAAAAGCCGTTCAGGATACTTTTAGTATTAGATTAGTTAAGCCACATTCTCTTTTGTGCTAACAACCGAAACTTTTAAAATGTTGATTAAGTAGAGTCCTGAAGCTCTCTACCTCTTTGCAAAGGCTGGTGGCCAAGGAAAAGTCTGCATTTGAAACAATGATCACAGAGTGAAAGGGTCCTTCTCCCATGACCTTTGAAATAAGAAGGTCACTATCTGAGAAAGGAGGATCTGTAACTGGGCCATGACCTCTTTACTATGATTTGTCACAATGGGGACGACAGTCTTCATATCCTATGCATGATTTCAAGGGAGGGAAAAAATGACATCTTATTGTGTGGCGGACATGACCAAACCTTGTGTTTGGTTGCTGCCCACATTTTTAGGGGCTGCCCTTTGCTCTCAGGACTGTTTCACATTCCACCAGTGTGACTCTACAGAACAGTAGGACATTGGCCATCTGCTCTTGGCTAACACCAATATTATTTCCTTATTATTTATAACTCACTTGTGTCTGATCACTAACTTTCTTTACCTTGGAACCACACTTTGCGTCTTTTGACGTTGCTATCATCATACCAAATATTAAAAATTAAAATGTGGATGTCTACACAAAATTACTTAGTTTTCTTGAATTTAATAAAACCCCCGATGCTTTCGATCATTTCCAAATTCTTTCTTCTGCCCCTCTGTTTATCGGTAGAACTTGTCTTGTCGAACTATAATAATGATTATAGAGGACTACCTTGATCGGGCAAGTTTAAGGAGAAAAACTCTTTTCATCATCTCTAGCCAGCCATCAAGACACCTTTAAGCTGAGGCTAAGAAACTGTTTTTTAAGTCAGACATTATCACAGAAGCACAATAAAGTTGAAAACGTTTTGCCATCACTAACTCTAATAGCTCAAAAAACCAAAGAAAGAGTCCTAAAATGGTAAAAGGATTGAGACAGAATCCAGTGTAAATTTCTCATGCAAAGAGAAGGGACAGAGAAGATTTCTAGATCAAGGTTGTACTGTTTGGTCATGGCAAAGCCAGACTAAGTCCCTGGTGTCCCATCTTCCAGTGAAATGATCTTTTGTTGTGGTGGTTCAAAGATTACCAGGGCTCCTCTTTTCTTTGGGGCTGTTTCTGGCTGCTTACTTCCTCTGAATTCTGAGCCAGAAAAGCACTTCTGAGATTTTGAATAAAATCTTTGCATACTGAACTGTGATTTCAAAATGGAAACAGCAGCTTTACTTCAATAGGAAAAGCCACAGAGGGTCACCTAGGCCCAGTTCTTGTCACCTGTTTCCCTTGGCCACACACCTCTAACTTCCCATCTCCCAGCTCCCTTTCCCAGAAAAATAAAAATTAAAAAGAACAGGGCCTGAGCACAACTCTCTGTCATTTGCCACAGCAAGCAAGTCTTTCTCAGATTAACAGTTGTTACACTGGGAAGTAAAAGGTGACAGTTGTAAAAGAGAAGAATTCAATAAAAAGTGTGTTTTATAATTTTTAGGTTGGAAAAACAGAGTATTAGGTATCCTGGATCTCTAGAGATAGCAAGATCATACGTTTCCTAAGATGGGGTAGTTGGAGAGAGTGGAGAAAGAAAAGGGTGACCCTAAGAGAGATACTTTAATTTTTTTTTTCTAGAACTATCTTTATTTCTGCAGTGATCTGTGGGCTTTTACTTCCTTACTGATGATACCTCCAGCCCCTGTCTCATTTAAATGTATAGGTAAGTATTGTTTGTTAGCCATTCTTGAAGCCCAGGGAGCATTTAGGTAAATCAGAGATTTCTGAACTTCAGAAACTCATGCTCAATTATCTGCCACTAAAATGCTTTAAAGTTAAAGTTCTGAGAAAAGTTGTAAAGTAATTTTGTACATACCTCTGTGTGTGTGTGTGTGTGTTAGCATTGAATGAGAAGAAGAGAGAGCAAAAAAACTTGTAGTATATGATTTTCTGAGGCAAAACTACGTCCTCATGGTTCTTGCCTCCTGGGTGTTACATGACCAGCTAAATGGGCGATTTGTTTTAAATCTTATTCCACTTAAAATTAGTAGTGACCCCACCCTCCTTTCCCCCAATTATCATTGTTAATAACCAAGTACATTCTACCATGTTCTTCAACAGGAATTTGTAGGTAACACTGTTCATGCATTCAGCCTGAATGGGCACTCCTTCCTAAGGTTTAAGAAAACATGAAAACCACAAAGAATGTTTGCAATTATTTTCTCTTGGTTGGCGGAACAGATGCCTTTCCTCAAGGAAAATGCCTTAGGCCAAAACAAAGCCATATTCATTCAGAGTATATTGTTTAGTAATTGTGCAGACTCTGGATTACATAAAATTTACTTTCGGTGCAAGGGTCCCACTTTTCTAGGAAAGGTTTATAAGCAAAATGGAGCAGGAAGACAGGCAGAGGGTAAAGTGTTAAAAGAATCAACTATGCCAAGGGCAAGTGCAGTTCAAGAAACAACAATGCAAGTACATTGAAAGGAAACAAGGCAATGTGATTGTGATTTTGTCTAGGGGTCATGCAGGAGCATCTGGCTGGCTTTATTTATAATGTGATTGTCAAATCAATCTGTAGAATATGGGTGAGGTGAAACGCAGAGGTAGAATATTATTCTAGATCATCTGTAACTTTTCAAATACAACCTTCATGCTGAAATTCCAGGGAGAATGTAAGAGACTCCAATAAAGAAACCTGTCAGTCAGTCAAGAGTGTTTATTTATTATCCCCCTGAGCCAGGCACTGTTCTAGCCAATATGAAATGATACAAAATAAAGAGTAGTCATCACCCTTCTAATCTCATGAGAGCAAATGGATTAAATCTGCAGACACACACACACACACACACACACACACACACACACACACACACCCTCTATGTGGGTGGTCAAGAAATGTTAATTATGGGGACATTTAACAGCTTCATTTAGAAAAAAACTGATTAGAAAATTAAACTTACAAAATTAGAAAAACTGGGGAGTGATTAGTTTTATTACAGATAGATTAAAACACACTCATAAAGCATGTCTTTTGTATAACAAGTCTCATTATGTTATTAACATCGGGAGCACTGCCCCTCTCCCTCACAAACCCACAAAACACTTTTGGAACATATTTATTGTGCAAATTCAGATTCACACTGGTGTCGAGGATGTGCTATAAGTACATAAAATAACCAGCCCTTGTCAGCTAACCTGTAAATTCTTTAAAGTCAAAGACTGGGCCTTGTTTAATTGCCTTGGGATCTTGCATGGTTAGACGGAAATGGTAAAGAAATAAGAATGAACGAATAGGATAATGAGTAAAGATGAATTGAACTTATTAGAATTTTAAGAGGCAAAAGGAAGAGGACCAGATGTTACAGACAGGTCAAGTTGGTTCTTCTCAGTGGGGGGTCCATATACAGGAAGAGGGATTGGCATTTTCAGCATGACTGAGAAAAGGTCAGCTCCTGGTTTGGTTCAGTGGTGTAGGCCCCTTCCCCAAGCATCCCTGGATTCTTTTTCAGGGCACCTGACTCAGTGGACACTCTTGCAAGGGCAGGAAGGGCAGCTCCTGAAAAAGAGGCATCTGAGATGTCACCCGTGTTCCAGGATATACCTTAAGGCTATATCCTTTCTTCCAACCCCTGGCGGAACACCTTAAAGGGTCGAATTGTTTGCATTGTCTTATTTAACAGGAGGTCGGGTGCTATTTCTCATTTGCTGGCCAGGGGACTTGGTTGATATTAATTTAATGCAGTCCAACTTGTACGCAAGTTTCGCGGGAACAGAGCCTTTTGTGTTTTCACTGCTAAGGCCCTAACTCCTAGAACAGTGCCTGACACAGTAGGCATTCAACAAATAGTGTTCGCTAAATGAATGAATGTTGCTGTTCATATGCTGGCTGTTTGTCTTTACTTTTGTTTTATCCATCCCGCTTCAGAGAGCTGGAAACTGAAGGGAAATCTTTGAAATCCAACTTCCCTTGTTCCTTCGGTCCAGAAACTCTGGCCAAGCCTTTGGGAATGGGGATCCCCTCAGAAATTAATGAGTCACGTCCACGGAAGGCGGGGGAAGAGGGAGAGTTGCAGGAAGTTCTCCACTCAGTTTTGCGTTTGCAGTCCCCTTCGCCACCCATCTTGCTCTTTATTTGGGACTAGGGGCATCCTGGGGCGTGGGGGGGGGGGTTGAGGAGGAAACCAGGGGTAGTTCTGGCTGCATTCCTAGCCTGGCCGTTTGGGTCCCGTCTGCGGGCGAGCCCCGCAGCACCCCCTGTCTGTGCCAGCACCTGTTGGACCGCCAGTTGGCGGCCGGAGTCGGCGCGAGCAGACGCGGCCCCGGGCTGCCCCTCCCAGAGGCGCCGACCCTCGCCTGCCCCTGCGGCCGCCCGCGGCAGAGCGGCTCAGCCTCCCCCGCTCGCCCCCCGCGCGCTCCGTCAGGGCTCTGCCCACGGCCCCCTCCTCCCGACCGCCGCCGGCTGGGGGAAGGTAGACGAGGGGAGGGGACAAGCCGAAGCCTTGGGCCGCCGGCCTTCCCTTTCCACCCGGTGCCGAGACGCCGCGCGGAGCCCCGAGGTTTGCCCGGAGCCCGAGGCGTGGGGGGAGGGGACGGGATACGACCGGAGCCCCGCGGTGACCCCGAGCTGCCGAATTTCCCTTGGCTTCGAGGAGCGGGGGACGCTCTCAAACAAGGTGAACTTTGGTCGCGGAAAACTCCAGCCAGGTGCCGGGATCCGCACCGAGGCGGTCGGGACCAGGCGCAGGCTGCGCGCCGGGCTGGGGAGCGGGAGCCCCGCGGCCTCCCTCCGCCCGCGCCCGGGGCGGCCTCGGCCCGGAGCCCCCCGGCCTCGCTCCGGCTCCGCGGCCCCCGGGACCAGCCGCGGAGCCCTAGCCTTGTTTCTTCCCCCTCCCCCTTCGGGGGTGGGGGTGGGGCGGGGGAGAGGGGCGCCCGGAGAGCGCATCTATTGGCAGCTTTGTTATTGATCAGAAACTGCTCGCCGCCAACTTGGCTTCGAGGCTGGCTTCGCGCGACCCTTGAGTGTTCGCCTCTGTCCTGTCCCCCGAACTGACAGGTGCTCCCAGCAACTTGCTGGTGACTTCTCGCCGCTCCCCCGGCTCCCCCGCGTCCCCACCCCCTCTTTCCTCCCTCGTCTTCACCCCCACCCCCACCACTTCGGCACAGCTCAGGATTTGTTTAAACCTTGGGAAACTGGTTCAGGTCCAGGTTTTGCTTTGATCCTTTTCAAAAACTGGAGACACAGAAGAGGGCTCTAGGAAAAAGTTTTGGATGGGATTATGTGGAAACTACCCTGCGATTCTCTGCTGCCAGAGCAGGCTCGGCGCTTCCACCCCAGTGCAGCCTTCCCCTGGCGGCGGTGAAAGAGACTCAGGAGTCGCTGCTTCCAAAGTGCCCGCCGCGAGTGAGTTCTCGCCCCAGTCAGCCAAATGCTCCTCTTCGGGCTTCTCCTGCTGACATCTGCCCTGGCCGGCCAGAGACACGGGACTCAGGCTGAGTCCAACTTGAGTAGTAAATTCCAGTACTCCAGCAACAAGGAACAGAACGGTGAGTCTTTTGCCCCATTCTCCTCCTTCTTGTTTCTCGCTGTGTGTGTTACCTTGGCATTGTGCGTTGGTGTGTGATGTACACCACCCTGCGAGGGTATGATCGTCTCTCTATCCATGCAAATGCGCGCTGAGCTCATTGGCATGGACTTCAGGAGGTTACGCGAAGTTTGCAACCTCGGGAGCTGCCACAAAGCTGTAACAGGGCAACGTGAGTGCCATTGCTGGCTCAGTTAGAGAGGACATTCTGGGAGCGATTGGGAACGTCAGTTCAAACGCACATTGCAGAACTTTTCCTTGCCAGAGTTATAAGTTCAGGAACTGCCTCGAAAAATGAATCCAGAATGAATGAGTCTTGGCACGTTTGACTTTACTCTGATTTTCTTTTTCGGGGGGTGGGGGAGGGTTTGAGGAAATGTACCAGCCACATTAATTGAAGCACTCAGAGTGGAAAGGCATCAATTAATCAGTAAGTAGATAGGAAATAGAGAGGTCAAGAGGCCGTGTGGACGTTTTTAGGGGGAGTTTAAAAAATGTATTTCTCTTGCGCTTTATTATTATTATTATTTTTTAAATGTGCCTTTGTACTCTGTAGCCCTTACCTTTCTGGTGTGTGTTTTTATATGTGTTGGTGAATGACTGCTATTTTGTGTGTGCTGGAAACGACTTAATCCTGCATAGGAAATGAGAATTACTTTCAGCTTTCAAGTGTACCTGAAATGTTTAGAAAACTCTCAGATGCAAGTTCCCTTGGGCTGGGATTGCACAGAGCTGGAGAAAGGCTCCTTTCATAAAGCCAGGGCAGCTTCAGGGTGTGTAATTTGCTTAGCCTCTGAACCCCATATGATTTACATCATTCAATTTCTAAACTCTTTTTCTCTTGATCTACCATTATGAAGTCATTTTCGAGAATACTTTGTAAATAGAAATTTTATACTGCACATGAAACCACAATGTTAATGTAGGCTGTCTAAAATTAGAATATTAAATACCCTGTTTACAAGTGGTGGCTCTTAACATTATTTGAAAAGAAATGTACATGTTTTTACTGCTTTGTAGGCCATCTATTTAGAGTACAGGAATGCTGTCACTTTATGAACCGGGGGAAATGAACCGAAGCAGCATACCTAGAAAATCAGAATGGTGTGTGCTGTTTTTAAGTCACAGCAAACTTTTTCTTTATGTATTGGGGTCTTTACAAGCTTTGACTTTGAATTTAAGCTCTCTGAAGTGTTCATCCTTAAGAAAGCACAGAAAGTTTTAAAGAATAAAGATAGATTGAGGATTCCTGGGACACTTGTAGACATTATTTGTATGTGTGTTGTATGTGCAGCACATGCACATTATCACATTTATCAGCCAATATTAATGTAGTTACTTCTTACAACTTGCTAATGTGATGGCGTATGGCACCTGCAAGACGCTTGAGCTGCTGATCAAAGGGCAGCCTAGGGATCTATCTCTAATCACAGGAGTTGCCGAGGACTGGGAGAAAGTGATCAAAGGAGCCCCAGCACCAGCTGTACCCTGGCAGGAAACAGATCAGACCAACCTTTGTTCTTTTTCATGTAAAGTAAATGTCCAGTTCAAAATATTGCTTCTTACTAGACAAGCTTCTCCAGGATGACAATGCACAATATTCCTGGCTTCTGTCTTCTATATTTTATAGTTCCTGTGCCATTATCATTTCTCCCTCTGTGCTGTTTTATCAAACCTGTCCTGGCATCTTTCACCTTCTGAATCCCTTCGCTACTTGTGCCTCTGATTGTCATTCTTCCTTGTGACCCACCTACCGGTCATCACTTTGTAATGGGCCCCAGAGCTCTCATGTGGTCATTGGCCACTTTACTGAGCAGGTTCACACCCTCTGGAGAGGTGAGTTCATTAAGCCAGGCCACACACATTCTGTTACCATCAGAGGTTGGGCCATTTCCATTCCTAAGTTGCATGATGCTAAAAATAGCCCGGCTGTTTCCTAATCTGTGGGTAGAGGATTGAGCTATGTTTAGCTCTTGGGAGGGTTCAGCAGGAAGTAACTAGAGGTAGAGAACTACTCACCTTCTAGTTTTTAGCCTCAGGAGAAGTGGGACTTTCCAGCACTAGGGGGCAATATAGAGCTATTTTCCCCCCACACATGCTCAGGTTGATTTTATGCTTCAGGGTTCCAAGCTTTGAGGATAACAGGTAGTTGCCAAAGAAGATCCCCCTGGAATGTGAACAAATTTGCTGGAACTTCCTTTTCTTCATCTTCTTTGGGGGGAGAGTTCAAATTTTCATTCCCTTAGGTGGGTTTTTTTTTTGCCCTCATAGTGAGCTTTGATGGATTTTTGATTGCCCTCTTCCTATTCTCAATTTTGATGATTGCCCAATTCTGGAAGTAAAAACCCTCCTGGAGATGCCACATAGAAGTGTCATTGGCCCAGTGTGTGCATTGCATCATTTTATGAAAGGTCTTCTGAGTTCCAAATGTCCAAATTGATCTATTTATTGTGACTATAGGAACTCATTTGTGCTTTCAGAGACCTCTCCCCAGTAAAACTGTCTTTTCCCTGGAATTCTAAATTCTCAGGTGTTGATGCAATCAGATCCTGAGGACTGCCTTATCTCAATATTAACTTGGTGCCCCAAGAGGTGTTATAAATAAATGGAAGTTGATTACTGTAGCTGATGCTAGATATTTGGATTTAGGTTGGATCATGTGGAGGTGCTTCAGAATTCATTTTGGAGAATTCGTGTCATTTACCCTGCTGTCATTTGTTACCTGGTTTTTGACCTAATAGTATATTGCAATTCTTGCCACTTTGCTGTGAGAATAGCTTTGTCCTCCAATGTTATAAGTTACCTTTGTGTCCTTAATTCTTACCCTGACTTCTAACCCTGAAGTCTCACATGTAAAGCAAGGGTCTCCTGATGTATCTTAAAGGAGAGAAAAAGATAAGAATGTTGACTTAAATAGGGTTTCTGGCCTATACTTCCTGTATGACCATTGGAAAAATGACTGATACCTGTGTGCACTCACTTAGGGGAGAATGCTGGGTATGGAACCAGTAAGTTCTGAGATGGTTCTTCTATGTTGTAGGGGAAGGGATCTTATCCATCAAAAAACAAAGAGAAACAAAGCTTCCCTTATCAATTAAATATAGCCCAAATAGACACCCGATCACAAAGTTTTTGGAGGAAGGCCTCATCCACTTGGTGTCATTGGTGAGTGATTTTAATTTACCCATGGAGCTGAATGTGCTTCTGGTTCTCATTTTCTTTAACCATTTTGAGATTGGTTAGGGTTATTAGGGTTATGCTTATGAACATCATTTATTGTATGTGCTCTTTTCCTCAAGAACTTTCGTGGCCCATGGTCCTCTAGGAATGACTTTCTGAATATATGTATCTTGTGTTTGTAACTTCTCTCTCTCTTTCTCTTTTTTTTCTTTTCATGCCTGCTTGTTCCTCCTCCCCTTGCCCTGTGCCTGTATCTAACAAAGCTGTGTCTACTCCCCCTACCCTTTCTAGGGGGATAGCTTCAAAGCTCTATTTCACTGAAAATGGATAATCACAATCCTTAGAATGGTGTCCAAGAGTAAATAGGCTCTGACCCAGTGCTGAAGGGACTTCCTGCGTGTTAGTCTGTAAGTTGTAGTGCATGACCTTTGTGACATTTATTTTTGTTGTTTAGAGGCTTTTTTTTTTAAGAACTTCCTCCTTGTTCTCTGCTCTGTTTGAGACTATTGAGGAAGTTGAAGAAGTAAAGTGCCATTATGTAATGATGAATATTGTTTTTCACAATTGGTGACAAAAATGCCCCATTCTATATTTTGGTAACATTCCCTTTCTACCAGTTGTCTTTTGCAGTTTATCTGATGTATTTTACATTTACCTCCAAAAGGTGTTTGGGTCTGTCAGAAGCTTTAGGGACTTGTATATTATTTGTTAAATAGTTTGAAATAGAGGCCACAGTCTGACACTAAAAGTTCCCCATTGGTGGCGTTTTGTAGAGCTCCTTCTTGGACACCAACTCTTAACTTTGTCTATTCTTATTTCATCTTTCCTGGCACTTATTTTTTTATAGATCTTCTTTATATTCTCTTCTACTTCATGTTTTTTTCAATCTTTATAGTGCTAAAATTCCATCTTATCTACAACCTGCACACTTTTTATAGAAACAGAACTCTAATCATAATGCGATGTGTGTTAAGTAAATAAAAATTGAATCAATGCATTCATAATGTTCATTCTCCCCCCCCAAAATGTTTCCAAAATTGCTAAAATGTTCTCTATAGATTTCTATTTGTGTTAACCAAAATGGTTATAAAATTCCCTTTATTTACTTCATCTAATTTTGGTGTTTCTGATTGTTTTATTTGTAAATACCATATGTAGCCAGAATATCTCTATACAATGCTGTATAATTTCTATATTACTCATTTATTAAAGAACAGTTTCCTGTGTTATTTTTCACTACCCCTGTCTCCAACTAAATTTTTTGTTTGTTTGTTTGTTTTGTTTTTGTTTTTGTGTTTTGAATCTCTCTTATTTCCTAACGACACCTCTAGTAGTTGATTTTTAGTTGATATATTCCAGTACTACCATACAGATTGTTAAAATACTGAAATATTTCTAATGGGTTGGGAAGGAGCCAGTGCTATCCTTGTAGGACAAATTAACTGTCTATGAATCAGAACTACGAGGTTAATATTTGACATAGCTTAGAACCTTTAGAATACCACTGGAACCCTGCTGGCCTCCTTCCTGATTGATCACTGTGCCTGCCATATTGATTGTTAGCCATCTTCACACTCTTAGGTACTGACCATTTCAGTCATATTGGAGATCCAACTCTTCTCTCTTCTCTTCCCTGCTGGGCAGCTGAGGCCAAGCTGAGGCCAAGCTGAGGCCAAGCTGAGGCTTGAAGGACCTGGAGTAAGGAAAGGATATGACCTTTTTTAAAAACGTCCTTTTTGCAGCTTCTTGTGTTCTGCCTCATCAAGGGTTGGGGCGTGGGGA